GAGGGGGGTGGGAGGGTCACCATTTTCACCGGAACAGGCTATTTAACCATCCAAATGATTTCTAAACGGGTTTATTAAGCTGAAAAAGTTGCCAAGTTCCCCTTTAAACAACTATTGGATGCATTGAACGAATGAATGAATGAATGAATTGAATAAATGAATGAATTGTAATAACTGTGGTTTAGCACCATCAAATCCTCATCCAATACTTTACCAAATACCTGCAAAACTAATGATGTTCCCATCAGCCTCAGCTGTACCTGAAAGCACCACTGTGCCTAAGCACAAGCTTAAAGAGCTGCTAGCCTGACTGTACACTTGTTTTAAAGGTCCAGTGTGTATGATTGAGGAGGATATGTAGTCAGAAATGGAATATAATATTCAATGGAATATCATTTTTATCTACAAAGGGAGCAGGTCCTCCATGTTTCTACAGTAGCCCAGAATGGACACAGTAGAAACTACGGTGCCTGTGAAAAACATTAAGGGCCCTCTCTACAGTCATTGTCTGTTCTGGGCTACTATAGAAACATGGTGGTTTAACAAGGCGTACTCTGTAGATAAAACTGTCTCATTCTAAGATAACAAAAACATAATTCCTATATTCAGGTGATTATACACTAAAGAAAACATAGCTATGAATATCATATGCCATTTCTGACAATAGATCCTCCTAAATGTTCCACACTGGACCTTATAAAGATGGTTAAACTTCTAGGACAAACATCTAAGAGCAGAAGGTAAAACACTTTGAAGCTGAACATACGCAGTATCATCCAGTGTTTTTTATAGAATTAGTTGGGATCAATGGACCAATAGTATTTTTTTAACCCACAAATGCAATAATCCACTAATTATAATTATTTTAAACATAATCTAAATCTGATTATATTTCTATATTATATCTCTCTCTCATTATGATATTCATGCAGTGTTTTGCATTGAGACAAACAATTTGTGGACTGAAAATGAGATGTTATTTTCTTATCTTGGTAAAATCGAAACATTTTCTCTTACCTCAGAGAAGAGAACTAACAATAAGAAGAAATCACTGATGGACTGGAGGGTCATTCTGCTCACACACAGGTTACATACAGTATAGTGGGCTCTGAATGCTTAGTAGGTGAACAGTGGTTGTATTAATTTTAATGAATAGAATACTTTGATAGGTGCATCCTAAAAGCTCAAAGTGCTCCTGTGTGCTGCACAGTGAAAACGTGTAGTTTGTGTCGCCCACAGGCCCGAGGCAGCAACACTGTGGGTGTCACCTCCTTGGCTCTGTCTCCCTGGGACCCCGACACCTTCCTGGTGGGCTCTGAGGGCGGCCTGCTGCTCAGATGCTCCTTCTCCTCCAAGAAGCCGGCTGCAGCGCCCTCAGAAGGCCAGAGTGTGACACCAAGGGCCCCAGCTGTCTTCTCGTTCAGACCCCGCAGTGGCCCCGTCCACTCCATACACTGCTCCCCTTTCCACAGGTCACAGCTCAGTTCACCAACCAAACCCACCATCATCACTGGCAGGTGACTCAGCAGTCCTGACTCATGTCTTGTGTCGTCTGCAGGAACCTGTTTGTGAGCGCAGGGACAGACGGGCTGGCCCACCTCCACTCTCTGCTGCAGGCCGACCCGCTGCTCTCACTCAGGGTCTCAGACTCGTACGTGTTTCAAGTGGAGTGGTCTCCAACCAGACCGCTGGTCTTTGCTGCAGCCACCGGACAAGGTAGAGCATAACCTGGTCTCAATAACCGTCAAAATGATCCCTTCATTTCCTGTTAGGCCATGTTTTTATAGGATACTTGTGGGCTAAAAGCTGCGTTTATACCTCCTATATCAGATTAAGATCAGGAAGTAGACCCGCTCTCCAAGTTGGAGTTGGAGACATCAGCCAGTCTATCTTAAGGTCACTCATCAGATCTTTGTCATTGCTCTGATTTCTACCTTTTACAAAATGGAGGATGAGTTAATAATCTTGTAAATGAACAAATACTATTAGTTCTTACAGTACAGCGTAATGTGTCATGTAAATGAAGCAATAGTAAGTGAATGTATCCTTGTCTCTCTCTCTCTCTCTAAGGTGAGGTGCACATATTGGACCTGGGCCGCAGGTCTCTGAGGCCGGCAGCCACCATCGAGCAGGGTGCTGCAGGCCAAGCTGCGACTTGTTTGGCCTTCAACCGTCAGAACGCCCACCTCCTGGCGGTGGGGAAAACAGACGGGACAGTCAGCGTTTGGCAGCTGAGTGCAGATTTGACGGAGCAGAGCCCCAGAGAGAGCAGCCAGCTGGAGCAGATAGCCAATCAGGTGGCAGAATGAGACATTAGCCTGGGAAAAGAAGACTGCTCACTGACTGATTTATGTGAACTGTTTTTAATGCTCATATCTCAAAGACTAAACAATAAAATTTTGGAAGTGAAATAAAAACAGGAGTAGAAGGTTCCAGTTCTAACCAGTAGCGTTTATTAAAGCACACTGCAGTTGTTAAGGTGTTATGACATTATTGGTACTATTAGGTTCTTAAATTCATCGAAAGCACAAGCTAAAACAGCTAAAACAATCACATTCAAATGCAGACAGATCCACTATGCTATGCTAAGTGTAGAGCGAGATAAATAGTACAGGTAGTTGTTAATAGTGAGTATTCCTAGTGCCACAGTCATGCAGTTTCAGCCGTGTGTTCGTGTTGAAGTGTGTGAGGGAAAACGCGTCCCGATTGGTCACTGGTGGGTGGGGGATCAGTTGACGAAGAGCGAGCGGGTGAATTCGACAAAGTCAAAAGCCGTTGGCAGCTCGCGGCCCTTGCCGTCAAGGTAGGGCTTCATGTGTGAGAGGCAGTAGTCCGCCTGCTCCTTGGTAAGGTTCTGAAAAGGAGAAGGGGGACAGTTAGACCTCTGGGTAGACCTGACACTCAAAGTGAATCCAGAGAGCGAGCAGTGAACACATCTGACCTGGTAGAGCTCTTCTTTAGTGACGTAGGGTTTGTTCTCGGTGCTGAGGGCCCGGAAGGCGCTCTCTATCTCCTCGCTGGACTTAACGTTCTCTGTCTCCCGGCTGATCATGAACGCCATGTATTCCTGCAACGACACATTGCCATCCCTGCAGACACACAATCCTCACAGTTAGCCAGACAGCCTGCCATACAGCCTACACTGTACATCCCTATTAAAGTCATTTCCTCAACGTGTGACAGACCTGTTGGGATCCACTGTGTCCAGTATGGCCTCAAACTCAGGATCGGGTTCGCCTTCTTCCACCATAGGCAGGTCGTAGCCCAGCGAGCGTAGACACGATTTGAACTCCTGGTGGTTCAGACGACCAGACTTCTCTTTGTCGAAGTGCCTGCAAATGAACAGGTGATGATGAGGATGAGACTTTGTCAGACCTGATGGAAACATGTCACAATGTTGTCAGCTCATCTCACTCACTTGAACATCATGCTGAACTCCTTCAGAGCCTCCTCTGTCACTCCAGTGGTGTTCCTGAAAGACAACGAGGGAGGAACGTGAGTAGAGCAGCTCACTGATCTCTCAACACCAACCAACAGCTTATGTTTGCCTACAGTGGACCTTCAGTGTGCCAACTCAGTGCTGTGTTGTTGTGTACCTGGCCTGTATCTGTTGCTCCAGGTTGTGCTGCATCCTCATTCCCAGTTGGTCAAGTTGGTCCCACTGCTGGGCCAGGCCCACTGTGCTGTGCTCTGTGTACTTATTGTCCAAGATCAGTGCTTCCTCCATAGCTGCACCAAGGTCTTCAATCTTCTTCAGCTGGCTGCGCATGGCTCTGATCTCCTGGTGCTTACGCTACACACACACACAATCACACACAGAGTACATTAACAAAGCCCTCTACCTCAGCTGCTCTTTGACAATGCTTGTGCTCCATTAGAGTCCTGGTAACTGATGCTCATCTCTACCAGCAGAAGAGTTCACATGAGGCTTTGGTGGTATGAAGGTAAACCAGGGTATTTACTAATCCTGAAGGTATGATTTTCAGTACAGTCAAAAACAGACAGGATCAATCATATTGGCTCTTGAATCATTTATTAATATTTCATTAATTGCCACAGAGTGAGTGGAAAGAATGAACATGTAAGAGCCTCTCTTTTTAAAGCGTGCCAAGTGAAATTAATTGAAATTTTCTCAGACTGTCTCATGTGTCCCCTGTTTGTTAACCAAGTTGTGTTCAGTGCATCTCACTCAGTGCAGATTTGCAGGAGGATTCTGGGCTCCTAAACTAATGCCAGACTGGCAACAAGAACTATGCTGGTTATAACAAACTAGCAGTCATACACCATATACCCTGGTGAAATGTTAGGAAGGTATGACAAAAACCAAATACTGCACGAGCCTAGTTAACATGTTTTGCAACAGTGAGTGATTTTTACCTTGGTGGCCTCCAGCTGGGACTCCAGGGTACCAGACTCTTCCACCATACATGACCTGACACCGACACAAACTGATGTTAGCAGGGAAGCAGCACTCACTCTGACACACTGTTAACAAGACATACATCCAGTATTCCCTCAAACCTTTATGAACTAGAATTAAATGTTTTGAGGTGCAAATTAAACTGGCTATTAAGTTATAATTGAACAAATCTTTAGGTTTGATAGACTAACTCTGTCCTATGACAGTTGAGCTGCATTCATGCCAAAGATCTACTGGTAACCCAAACCATGCAAGGCTAGGGCTACTGCACACAGGACTGGAAACTGCTTCAGATCATTAGTACTTCATGAATGTGAAAGTCAGTTTTCTGTTACAGGAGATGAATGGTGCACTGTGAAGTCACTGCACACATGCTGAAAACTAAACCACAATAACCCAATGGGACCAAATTTCACTTAAAGTTGCTTAGAATCCTCCTGTACTGGTTAGAAGCCAATCATTTGCAGTTTCCACCCCTGAGGTACACATGGTAAACATGGTGACAACTCTAAGTTTGAGAACTGTGTGGATGTTAGTACAGGAGGAAGGTACTGAGCACGCCAGAGCCCAACATGGTGGTTTTAGACTGAAGTGCATAAGGTCACACAGGCCTGACGGCACCCCGTGGGTCAGAAACAGCACAAGAATATAAGAGCAAGGCTTGAAAAAGGTTGACCTTCCAGAAAGATCATCAGCAACCTGGTACTGATAGACACAGATAACCCGCCGATAGGCTATGCTATTCAAAGAGAGGATGAGGAGGAGGAAGGACCAGAGATTAAACATCACACAAGAAAATGGAGCAAAACCACAGGGAATTTTCCAGAAAGAGAATCATGTACATCAACGAGAAACAGACTGGTCCTACAAGCTTCATCATTTCAAATCAACACCCACCTTTAAGATCATCATCACATCCTACACACACACACACACACTCTATATCAGACGCTCATATAAACACACGTATAAATAAGAAAAGTGATATTAACCCATCCAGAAGATATGTCCTGTCACAGTAATCCCAAGCATCAGCGAGGAAGCAGTCAAGCGGAACGAGGGAGAAAGAGAGGGGAGGGATGGAGAGAGGAAAAAAGAGAACAAATACACATTAACAATGACACAGTGCTCAGTGCAGACAACCCTGAAAACAGAAAATGCTAACAGCAGTGTGGACAGCGCTCAATGTTTTGACGCCCTAGCTTTGAAAATGGAGACGTGTGTGAATGTTTGTGAGAGAGCAAACATTTCACCAGTAAGCATGCTGAGCTCGTTTACACAGACACACACTGCAGAAAGCACCTTCACAGTATGCAAACAAAAGCAACGTCTGCAGCATGCCACAAATACCCCGATGTCATACTGGTTTGGATAAAATCTCCAATATGGATGGTGGGAAGGTAGTTTATCTCCTATTTTGTGTGCCTCTTTTTTTATTATAATTTTTTATACACTAGCATTGTATCAAAGTTTAAAAATCTGGTAAAAATCTGGTTAAACAGAACCATCTAGGAAGTGGTTGTTGGAACAAGCTCAAACACACATTACATTTGCAGTGAAGTTAAGCGACAAAATGCTGCTGAATCTGGTTCCTTCCAATTGTCAGATAGGCATTACCCATCTGTGTGCTAAATTTGGGCAAATCATAAACATCCAGTTTTATAAATGATCTTTTTAGAGCATGATGGGGTGATACACAGTAGCTGTGGTTTGTCATTAGCCATGCTATTGTTTACTTCCTTTTTCCAAAATCAGAAACAGGCTGAGACTGGTCTAGCATACTGCAAAATAGATCCATTTAACAGTTTCATACATGCAGTTGCACAAAAAGTTGCTGCTAAGAAAATACATATGCCAGTGTGTGTGTCAAGACCATCATGAAACTAAGACATTTTCAGCTTTAAAACATTCATGCTAGGTTGAAATGTTGAACTATATGAAAGAAGAGCTGATATGAGTTGAAAGAACGCGTGCTCTACCTGGTCTCCTGCAGCCACTGGTGGAAAGCGTTGGCGTGCTGTGCAAACTCCTGACGCAACTTGTCGTTTTCCTCCTGCCTCCTCTGCTCCTTCTGCAGCTCCAGCTCCCGCTCCTACACTCACATTCACAGACGGACAGAAAGACACAGCAGCAAGGTAAACTTTACTGAAAACTACTTCCAACCTCTGCAAATCACAATAAATCGTATATATTAGTGCTGAATTTTGTGTGAACAAGTATATCATCTTAGATGTGGAGACCTTGATGATCTTCTGCAGGTTCCTCCAGGTTTCTTCCAGGGCCTCCATGGTGAACCAGGTGTAGGGGTTGGACACCACCTGGTAGCTCTTGATCTGCTGGTCCAGCTCGGCCAGCTGGTTGAAGTCAGCCTGAGCTGAGCTCAGTGAAGAGCGGAAGGCCTCATGGGCTTCGCGCAGCGCCCGGATCTCCTCCAGGGAGTTGCACCTCACCGGGTCCGTCAGATCCTCCTCTGCGTTCTCAAACCAGCTGTTGAAAGCCGACGCCTTCTTGGCGAATGTCAGGAACAAGTCCTCGACCTGGGGTGGGTGGAAAAGATACGTTCCTTAAAACAAGTCCAGCTTACTGATAAAACCTCAGAAAAAAAGCTTTCACTTTGGACATCACTTCCGAGGATTTAGGGTTAAAAAAACCAGCCCTTCGTCACAGGATGCTCTACCTTTCTGAAGTGCTCTTGAGCCTCCAGAAGCTTCTTCTTGCGAGCGGCTGAGTTGGACAGCAGCTGGTTCCAGCGCTTCATCAAAGCAGCATGACGAGCTTCAATGGCTTTTGATTGGACGTGCTTGGCAGCCACCAGCTGGTCCTTGAGAGCTGTGATGTTGGTGATACCCTCCTGCTGGAAGGCCTGGAGACCGGCATCAAACGTCTCCTGCAGACGGACACAGAAAAAAAAAAAAAAAGATGTTGGAAAGAGTAACATGGCACA